TAAGAAGCAGAGTCTCAGTTTCTATCATTTGTTCAATAATGATTGTCATAGATAATTTATAAGATTTTTTAAAGCTTATAGAAAACATACATACACATATATAATAACAGGAACCTTAGTAGTTAGTCAATAATTTCTCTCTTAAAGTATCGCCAGAATTTTCATCAGTAACACATGTTAACTCTTATTGGCACATCCCTGTCTTCAGTTATCCCATCAGAATATGTTATTGGCAATATTAACATACCGCCCAATTATGTGTCCTTGATAAACGCCTTGCAAGAACATGGATGCAATAGGCAACATCAGCCCTAGGCCTAGTAGCCGAAATGGCAGTGAAAATTGCTGTGGAAAGGCAAAATAAAGTCTTATTTATAAATCATCCATAAAGTGCTCTCTCTACAGGCAGATAAAAACTCAAGCTAAATAATACTATCACCACACCTTGGGAGTGAATGAAAAATTAGAAAAGAGAACCCAGTACTAACCTCTAATGTGTTTTTCCTTTGCAGGGCGTTCATAATGATTTGTGGCCTTAACTATAGCAATATCCAATTCCTGCAAAATACAAAAATGCATAACCAAAAAGGACCAGCAACATCCATATTTGAAATAGCAATCTTAACGGTTATTATTATATACAGCTAAATCCACCTTATAATCACTATTAACTTTAGCCAATGAAACAGTGGTGGTATCTTTGATGGCTCCAAGTGCTCTCCTCAAGCTCTTTTGTGTGCCCCCGCCAGACATTCTCTCTCCCACTCAAGCACAAAATTCTAAAAAAAAAAAAAAAAACCATCATTTAGACAACATTACTCTCCATATAAACTTCAATTTTCCTCAAACTACGCAATAAAATTTATCTTTGAACATCAAACATAAATTTACTTCCTTGAACTCATTAACAAAAATAATCTTTAACCTCAACTCTAGAAGTTTGCAAAACATCAATTAAGATCTAATGATACCATAGTTCATAATTGCCTACATAATCCAACAGGCACTCTTAGCTCTCATTCGAACATTTCCAGAAACTAACATCGCAAACATACACACAACAGGAGAGTGGCAGTCATCAATAAGAAAATTGAGAAATTAAAACAAATTTCTGCAAAATTTCCCTTTTCACCATTTGCACAATCAAAAACAGCCAATCAAAACCAAACTAAAGATTAACAAAAAAAAAAAAAAACCCAGACAGCAAAACAGGAATAAAACCACATAAAAACGAAAATGAAGCTGAAAAACTTCAAAATTCAATCAAACAAAAAGCACCAACCTTTGACTTACCACCCAAAAGGAGAAAAAAAAAAAGATCTAACCAAATAAAAATGAATTAGAAAATCAATCAACAATTCTAGAATTATGTTAATCTTCAATACATATTAAAGGAATACGAGATCAAACAGCTTAAAAAAGTAGTTTTACCTGAGGCTGAATAATAAAGACAGAGAAAAATTAATCGGTGGAGTTCTGGTCTTCCAGAGACAGCAAAGAAAAGTCGAACAAATAATGAGCTTTTGAGTTCTGGTTTGTTTTGTTGGGTCGTCGGCGTCGCTATTTTTTTTCTCTTTTTTTATTTTAATTATTTTTTTACTATTTTTAGAACTACAATTTTAAAATCTATTTTTTTTCTCTGTATTTTGATATTTTCTCTTTTTCTATGTCAGAAGAATACGGACCGCAAGAACTTGTACCGTCGAATTGACGAGTAAACAAATGTAGGGGGTTTTGTTACTGTGCGTTCGATCTCATTCTCACGTGCTGCGCCTGTTTCCCACTTTTGTTTCATTTCATTGGTATAATCAAATTTTCCTAATAATTATAAAAGAAATTGAATTTTACGGTAATTATATACAACTTTTTTTTACATTTAAATTCCCATAGTTTTTATTACTACTTAACTGCGAACTTGTAAAATCCCTGTAATTTTAGCAATACAACTTGCATGCTTGACTAACTCCTTGTAAAAATTAATTGTTTTGACATGTATATATAAAAATTTTTAAAATTTTAATTATAAAAAAATAAATAGAGAATTTTGAAGTTATCTTTAATGAATTCCATAAGAAATCAAACACATGAAATAGTTTTGTTAAGTGAGATTAACATAGATTTATTGAATATTTGATTCAATAATAAATATATATTTATGTAATTGTGTTCAAGAGATTATCTCTTCGAATTAGAGAAAAAAATAGAAAACAACATAGTTATCACTTATAATAAACCTTATCTCCGCTTGAGATTTGATTTAATATACCTTTAGTCAGTTTTATATATAAAAATTATTTTTTATATAGCAATAATGAAAATTTTTTATTTTTTAATATAATTTTTTTAAATGAGGACAACGTCTTATTACATGAAAATAAAAAAGATAAGGCTTTGTTCGAATCCAAACTTTAATATCTTTTTTTGAGGTTTCTTTTATAATTAAGTTAAAAATAAAAAACATATTAAAAAAATAATAGGTGTAAGTCACTAATTTTAATTATAAATAAATGAGATAATTTCTTTAAAAAAAAAAACTTTATCATTTCCTTAAATTTATTAATTTAATAATGTAAAATACAAAACTTTTATTACTGGGATTCTTTGTTTCCATTGTGGGATTCTAATTCCTAAAGATGATGAAAAATATAATGCATATGGTTTTGCCATGTAGTGGATTATTTTTCCTTTTGATTTATTTTTATTCTACATTAGTTTTGGGAACTTGGGTTCCAAAAAACGGGAATTGGTTTTTTTTTTTTTTTTTAAATGACCAAAGAACCATAGTTGTCTTTTAGATCAAGAAGTGGCTTAGAAACAAGAAAGCCTAATGTTGTCAGCAAAGTGAAGACACCAGTTTTTTTTTTTTTTAAATGTAATTCTACCCTTGCTTTTTTTGTTATTTGCAAAAGTGACCTTACTAATTTTTGCAGAATTTTAAGGTTGGAGTGAAATTAGAAGATGAATTGGACCCACCCTAAATCATGCACATTTTAAAATCAAGATGAAGAAGTGAACTTTCAACTTTATAGCAATAGTAGTACTCTTTGTTTTCATTTTTGCCCTCTGTCTTAAATTGTGATTTAAAAAAAAAATTCTAAATACATTTTTTCTTTTATATTGGAATTTAAAAATTTTATTAGTTTAGACTAGAGATTATCAATTGTTAATCATTCTTAATAATTTATATATAAATGCAATGTTTAATAAGATTATAATTCAGAAGTATAATGAATAAAGAATTTTGAATCAAGTAAAACATTTTCTAATAAAAATGATTCAATGGGATCACAATTTTTATCAATAAATCATATAAATCTTATCATTATTAATTTAATAATAATAATAATAATAAATCATAAATAAAAATTATTTAAAATGATAATATAAAAATAAAATGAACATAAATATCAATTTAAGTCAATCAAAATTTATCACGTTTATTATATAAATTATTCCTTCATAATTAAGATAATAAACTAAATAATTTTCCAATCCTTTTTATATCATTCCCAATTAAATGTGTTTTTGGTTTTTCTAAATCTAAAGGTATATAAATTGATTAATTTTTCAAATCAAGATAAAATATATTTTATTTAATAATTTTAAAATAAATTATTATAAATTATTTATTCGAGATAATTTTAATAAATAATTATCGATAAAATTCGAATGTAAGATATTTTCGTTGAATATTAATCAATTAAATCAACCTATTCATAATTAAATGTGTCAAAATTAAACATTTTGCGCCTATCACATCACATACGGGAAATGAAGAAAATTTCATAAAAAGCCTTGAATTACCTGATTTGGACCATTTATCCAATCCAAAGAAAAATAATTTTGATTAAACTTTTGTAATTGTAAAACACAAGTTTTAACTTAAAAAAAAAAATCTTATTTTTTAGATTTTTATTAAAAGATGCTTCAATTTCTACCCACTTCTAGTTAAAGCTTTGAAGAAAGGGTACAATGAAAACAACATATTAATTTTTTCCAAAAAATTATGATAAATGAAAATAAATACCTATAAATGGGAAAATCAAAATTAAATACTAGGTGCAGTGAGCCGGAAATATAAGCAGATGCAGGGGTGTCCTTTGGTCGAGGCAACAAGTGGTGGCACGTGGAAAGCGCGTGAAATTCTTGGACAGAACTGTTAAGTTAAAAGACGATCGTACCCTCCATTTCAAAACGAGAAGAAAACAAACAGGATCCATGGGCAATGTTTGAACGGCAAGATTTGTCTTTAGAAAATTGTCATGGTTGCGGAGAAAAAAATAGTGGACCCCACTAACAACCTGGGCCCAGTTTTTTCGAGTTCGACTCCTCACTCTGTACCATGTTACAACTGACGCTGGTTGGGAGGGCTCCACGAAAGCTTCTTTCTTTATTTTTTTCCACTTTTTAAAATGTTTCTAAATTTCTAAACCGTCTGATTACCATTTTTGGACGTACAAGATTTATTTGTTCTTGGAAGCTCTGGGATCTGAAGGATAAATATGTTCACATGCGCTTTGCAATCTGCTTGATCAATGTATTTTGAAGTTTCAAATGGGTTTCCAAGAATAGCAGTACTATATCAAATAGATTAATTTTATAAGATTATTAACAAAAAATTATAATCATAAAGAATATTATTTTTATAAAAAATTGATAAATTAAATACTCGTTCAATACATAAAATTAAATCAAATTTATACATAATAAAACTTGAATTTAGATCTTAAAGCTTAAAAGTTTGAATTTTATATTTTTAATTAATTTAAATTTTACATGCATCATCTGTATATAATATAAAATTTAACAATGAATTAACGAAATAAAAATAGTATAAAAATATGATACAAAAGAGTGACAAAATCCTCTGGATTTTTTTATGGAAGGAGCAATGAAGTAGCAATCTGCCGGCAAGAATATGATATTGGTTATCCTGATCATCCAGCAAATATAAATATGAACTGGTGAGTTCATCACATCACCAACTTTGTGTCAAATTCTTGAGCAGTTGGAGCTTGATGGCAACCTTTTTGATGCAATTTGTTTACCAGAAAGAGGAATAGCATGTTATACGGAAGAGAGGAAAAAGCAAAAAGGAAGCCATCTTTGACATTTAACCACAGAAGTCAAATAACTTGGAATGGAAGAAACCATTGGTTCTGAGTTTGGCAGAAAACAGATAAAATGTTAGTTGAGTTGACATCCTAACTTTCAGACTACATGCATGTATTTACCTTGCATTGCACTGCACAATTCTCATTTTGTTTTGAGATACATCCCTTAGTCATTTACAAAATCAGAGAAAAAAAGAATGTGTTTATAATAAATAATTTAGAACATTGATCTAAAACATACTAATATTACAATTGTTTCAGAGGACTCAAATGCCTCTATAAGTGTTTCAAAATTGGTAGAAATCATCAAAAGAACCTTCAAGATCTCCTGACAACGGCTGTGGCAAAGAATGGATGATGGCTGAACTCAAACAACCCTTAAGTGATGGGTCAAGAGTTCCTAATCGATAGATAAGGTTTAGAGCAACACTGATGTGCTCCACAACCTGCTCTAGTCTCCGGAGTTCAGCCAATCTCTCTGGATCATTGGAAAACTACTCTTGACCTCCTTCGTAATCCTCTGGGCATCCTTGAATTAATTATACATAACTAGTGTCTGGATAGAAAGTAACTCAGTTATGTTTTGAACCAGAGACGTGAAAGCAAATGCAACGGAGAAAAAAGGAAATTGAACCCTGGGGATTGGGGGGGTTTGATGGGGCAGAGATCTTGTCCAATACTCACAGAAAAGCGAGCATGAGTTGTTGATTCCTTGAACAATGGGTATGAAACGTGATCAGGAACGCGGGCTCTTTGTAAAAGCTCCAAATGCTGGAAAGAGACTGAACAGATTAATAGGGAGGATGAATTGACAATATTTAAGCAAAACATTGAAATGAGAGATGAGCAGCATCTGCCGGTAATATATATAGATGTGCAAGACAATTTTAAAATTAAATCAACTTCATTTCAGAAATCTGCATTTTAGACCAAAATGACAATATTACAACACAGGCTTTAGACTGGAAAACTGTTTCCACTCACAATCAGGGTAAAACATGGCAATTTACAAGTAAAAAAAGTGCTGCTAATTATAAGTCCTTCAGCAAGACATATATAGCATTGAAGGAAAAAGACCACCGGCGGGATCCGAGATTCCCTAGCCAAATCTTTACGTGAATCCCTTTCCTTCTTTCCCTTTCGTTTAGCTGATCATAACAAATAAAATCAATTAATAAGCTTGATCATTGCTTGCAATACAGAAACAATAACATGCAGATCATAGAAAGAAAAAAACCAGTATAATCAGATTGTCAGACTTATCCATGGACACATTTTTTTTACATGAGAAAATTGAACAAATCTACCTGTGGCTTACAGATAATCTCATAGCAAAGAAAGGGTACCAAGGAATAGTTACCAGTATCATAGCCAACTTAAGATGAGTTTTCTGTGCAAGCTTGATTAAGACAGCATATGAATTCCAGTATACCATGCAGTATTCGGTGGCAGAATACTGCGAACACAAGGAAATTTTTGTCTAGCGTCAAATAGAACAAAGAACTAAACTTTTGTTACTATGTTTTCATTGCATGGAACAATGTAATGAAAATAGTGAAATTTAGAAAGATTGATGTTATTTTCCACTTTCTTGTAAAGCTTACCAAATAAATTTTCAAATATTAAAATTTTTAAGTTCGTTATGGTTATTAACTCTTTATCTCTTGCTCCAGAAATCAAAACAAGAAAAAAAAACAGAAATGCTGATGAAAAGCCTACAATTTATTTCATTGTAGAAGTTCTAAAGCACCAACTTTGCCAAAAAATACAATTTTATCCCCTATCAGAAAATTTCCTAAATCTTCCGTTGGGGCTTTATTTTTTTAAGCTCCAATTTAAGTAATTTTCCTAGAGTCTAGAACAGAGATAATTGACAGAATCGACAGTCATTTGCTGCTTAATTGTTTGGACTTCGCAAACCTGTTGGGCCTATGGTGGTCCAAAACCACCAGATTGGGGGAAACTGACAACTACTGACTGAGGATACTCTCCAAGAATGTTTCAAACAGCAATCAGACACTAACAGCTCAATAGAGGAAGTGCAACATTGTTCATAGAAGAACAATCTTGCTTAATATATTGCTGATACAGCTAAAAAAAATTATTAATGAATAGACTGCAGGTCGACAAATATATTGAATGAATAAAGCTGTTCTTAATCCTCAATTCCCAATAAATATTAACAGAGTTAATTGAATTGGTAAAAATAGAATACTTTGCTAGAAAATTTATGTTTGATTTCAGCTGTCAAGAATATTCTTGATGGACGATTTGTAAACCCAATATAAGTGCTCTCTTAAATCTGCTATCTGCCTTGACCTTGGAACATGGAAGCTTCCCGTTCCCGTAAACTTTTTATGAGCCCAACGAATTCCCCAACAAGTGAAACAAGAAAAAAAAAACATAAATTTCAAGTATGATTCTTTGTATATTTCTGCCCTACTGATAGCTTTTTCTTCATGAAGATGCTATCTATCATTGATGTACATTTAGAGAAAGTACCTGAACGTCATAAAACATAAATCGCAAGACCCCCAACCTCACAAAAGAGAAAAAAACTATAATAAATGAAACAAACATAAACCCACATTCTGGTGAGACAGAAGAACATATACATTTTTGTGATGCATAAACTTTTAACAGCTATAATGATCACGCCACTCTAAAAATACAAGAGAAGCACCATAATGAGCCAATGCACCCATCACTACGAGAATGTGAAATATTTGATGACTATGCCCTGCTAAGTCAAACCATCCAGGCTTGAACCTCTCTGGAATTCGGCTAACATAGAACATGGTCCCTGTCAAATAGAATATGGCCATGGCAGACTCATAGGCCAGAGTGACATTGCGACGCGGATTAGACCAGTTGACAATTGTAGCATGGATTCCAGGGACAATGCCAAAGAGCCCCATGGAAGAAAAGAGTAAAGCTCGAAATGCACGAAATTTGCCAGTTGACAAGGTCGGTGACAGCAGTGTTACAATGGTGAACAAGCCTAGAGCTGTGATTCCACCAAGGTAGACAAAGTGCCATTGTGGATCGCATTGAAAAATGTAGTAGATTGGAGGAAAAAACGATGTGATGATCATGGTAGTGATCCCGGTATAGTCAATTCGCAACAATCTAAGGTTTAGATGGTGTGAATGGCAAGAAAATAGGTGGCAAATACTGCTTGATAAGAGGCAGAACATGGAGCCGCCTAAGAATACATTGAATGGCCACCGTGTAACAGGCGTCGCCGGAAGGGTAATATCCAATTCCGAGGTTGTTATTCGCTTCAAATCAATGAGATTTTTTGTTCCCTGCAATTCTCCAACTATATCAGCTTCATTGCATAAACAAAAATGAAGTGAAAAAGTAGGTATAACAGTATAAAATCATTAATAAATGCTATGGGGACATACTCACCCGAAAGAGGTCTTTAGAATCGTGAGAAACATTGGTGTCGCCACCAATAGGAAATGACCTGCACCAATTGTATTATAACATATCAACCTTAGCGTATCCTAATTGAAGTCTTCAGCAACATTTTAATGGAATTTCAATCACCAACTTCAAAACAGTAAAATCTGCATTGTTTGAATGCAAAATCTATAAATTTACAGTAGAACCTAAAATCTTGAAGCTGGCAAGCTGCCTTAAATCTGACATGTTGGAAGCTGTTCCGTAAAAAAGTGACAGTCACCACAAATATAATTGTGAAATGGAACATCAAATTCGAACCACAAAGATGTTGGGCCCTTTCTTAGTTGTAAGAGTTGATACCGTATTTGACTCTTATGAGTAATGAGCCTAATATGAATTGCATATGCATTCACTAAATTGGTTGAATCATCAAATGCCTGCCCGAGACTAAAGGCCACTTCATCAGTCAAAGCATTTATTGTGATTAGAAAATTCTTAATTTCTAACTTTCCAAGTCTCATCTGAACCATCTATCAGAAAAATTAAAAAGAAACATCTTATTTGAAACCAGCTCTTGTTTTGTTCTGTTACTTCCTAATGAGGTATGACATGTCAATAGTTGAAACCACCAAATCCTTCCTGATTAATATATTTCATGGCAATTAACAAGAACCCATTTTAGTATTTTCAAGACATCTGAACAAACACTTAGCATGAGCATGTCAATTTTGTTGCTGTAAAAGTGAAAAGCAAAAAGAACAACAACATATTTTAGAAACTTCTCTTATGAAAAAAAAATCAAGTCAGCATAGAAATATACTGCTATCATTTTTACCAGAATTAGTTGGACGAAATTTCACAGGATTAAGAGTAAAAAGAAATCAGTTTATTTGCTTCAATAAGTATTGCCGGAAAATTCATTGAAATTAAGGACTAAAACCTTAAACGAACCTGATTAAGAAGATAATTAGATCCGCCACTCGTGGCACTTGCATCAAATTTGCCATGGTCAATCCCAAAAATAGAAAAAACCCAAGCAAATGCCTAGATAGTCCAACACAAAACCAAAATTAAATGAAAAAGAAAAAGGAAAGACTGAAAATAATCATAAGAAGAAATCAATCAAGAAACAGCACAAAAAAAAAATCAAATTAAAACTGATTAAGACCATAAAAGAATCGCGAAACTTTGTTTTTTTTTAACATACGTCCAAACATTAAGTGTTTCGTTATGCCAACGAAAGATGCTAAAAAGAGCTTCCTTGAGAGACCAATTAGCCCTGTAATAATTCAGTATAAACTCGTTGTCCTTCATGTACTCCGGGAGCACTTTGTACGACACCAAAACATACCGTCTTTTAGCCTTGTTCAAGCCCTGATCATAATCATCATCACCACCTGATTTTTTCCTGTTTTCCACCTCAACAGGTTGAGAAACAAGCTTGGAATCGAGGGTCGGATCCATCTTTCTGTTTTTCTCTTCAAAACAAATACAGTAACTTGATCTTCAACAAAAGTCACGACCCTGGAAGCTGAGAAGAAAACCCTGAGAGAGATTTACAAAGAAAACTTCCAGGAAAATTGAAAAAGACCCTTTAATTCTTTGGTTTTTCGTTTTTTTTTTTTTTTAATTCTTTGTCGGAGGGTTATTTGAGTGTAGTTTGGAGGATGGCAGATAGCTACCTACACCAACTGCAACATTTAAAGGGGGAGGGGAAGACCCTGTCTATAGCTTGGGCTTGGCTATAAGTTAATTGCTGTTGTTGGTGGATAGCATGGAGATGTGGTTTTTTTTTCTGCATGCATCGCAACCAAAGCTTACGTAAGGGAAAACTAATGCAAGGGAAAGAGTTGTTGGTCGGTCATCGATAAATACGATGCGGCTGGATAATGGGAAAATGGGATACTCAAAAACCGCCCATCAGTTGTTCCCTTTCAATAATTTCTTTAAATTATTAATCTCTTTTAAACTCTCTACTTTATATTTATTTGATTAAAAAAATTATTATGCATATAAATTCTTTTAAATATGTAACTTTCAAGCATTAATTTAATATTGTTATATTAATTAATTTAAAAATTAATCGATTCAATAATTAAATTAAATAGTGAGTGATAATCAATTTTTTAACATATGGATAGATGAATACATAGTTGAAAATATTTTTTTGATAATTATTCTTTTTGGTATGGTCCAAATCAATATTGTTAAGATTTTTTCAATTAACATTTAACTTAATTATATACTATACATGTAAATTTTGATTTTTTATTACATATATATTAGCTAAAAATACACATTTTATTAAAAAAAAAAATGAACCCAACTTTTTGAATATGAGAATATATTGGTGGTTTTAGGTGGAACCGCATCTAGTATCAAAACATGAGATAGTTTTGCAATATCCAGTAGAAACAATTTAGACATTAGAAATTGAAATTCATAAATTAAAGATATAATAATAAATATATATATATATATATCATTGTATTCCCTTATTAACTAATATATAAAAAATTAGATCAACTTATACTAGAATATTTTATTTTTTAAATTTATTAAAATCAGTAATTAAAAAATATATAAAATTAAAAAGATTTTTACTTATACAAGTTGATATCTTCTCATATATAAATGTAAAATAAGACTTTATAAATCTACAATTTTGTGCATGAAACATCTTATTATGAACAAACAATATTCACTAAATCCAAAATTTAATTTAATTAATTTATGTAGTTATCCTTAAGAGATGACATCGATAAATTTGAAATTCAAATCTAAAATTTTTTTTTTTTATTCCCAATTTTTTTTGATAAAAAAAAAAAACAATAATGTCCATTTGCATAAATTAAGCAATGTTAATCACATGCAAACAAAATATCTATAGAAACTTAATCATCTCCAAATAAACTAGCATTGTGTAAATTCTAAGTCTATTCTTAAATAGAAAAAAAAAATTAATCCATATTAATAAGCTAGCTATACCTATAACTAATTTATTGCCTAGACTCAAAAAACTTGGCATTTTTTTTCTTGTGGAAGTTGTATATTACAAAAAAATTTCCAACCTCTTGGGATAGAGAAGTAGATCATAGTGATATCTTCCTATCATTTTTTACATGCAAAATGTGTGTATTTAATTTTAATTCTAAAGATTAGCTAGAAAATTTAGGCAACCTACTTTATCATCAGACGGACAGGTGGCCTACCACAAAACCGTTCATTTCTATGTTGCTTTATCTCGTTTGCCTTTCAAGATTCTTCAACCAAAAACAGGCACAGATTTCTTGTCTGTGCAATAGCTTGTTAAGCTAAATACAACGTTGGATTATTAATTACTAAGTATTGGTTCATGATTATCGGACCAAAATGTTCATTTTTTTTAATGGATATTACTTCTTTAGTAAGAAGATGATTTTTTTTTTATATTAATTAGAGTTCGATCTTTATAAAAAATATTTCAAGATTAAAATCTTAAATATACTGAACTGATGTAATAAAGTATACTTTTAAATTTATTTCAAAAAGAAATTAGATTTAGACAAAACCCAAAAACATCTCTGACCATATTATTAGGTGTGTAAATAAACGAACATTCTTCAAAAAATTTGAAAACAAACTTAGTTTTAATACATTTATATTCATTTATTAAATTAAACAAATAATTTTGAAAAAAATAATCAAGGCTCATTTAATAACTAAACCAGGTTAAAACATTAATAAACTTAATTTATTTATATTCATGAACAAATTTAATAAGTTCATAAACTATCTCGATAAAAATTTAATAATAATTTTTTATTTTTATTGAGTTAATTTTAGTTTTAATTAATATTAAGCACAATTCAAATAATTATTAAAATTTATATGATATAAGCGTAGTTGCTTGAAAATAACCCATTTGTTTCTTAAGATTATGAGTTTGTTATAATTTTTAAGTGCTTAAAGTTGGAGTTATGGTAAGTTTTAAAACAGAAAAATAGCGAAGAAAACTTCTCTTTTAGACTTTTAAGTTAATCCGAAATAATATCTTATTTGATCCTTAAATTATTATATTTTTTTAATAAGAAAGTTAAACAAATAAAATTTTAATTAGGTATCTAAATTATATTTTCGTTTATTAAATTGTTCAAAATTTTAATACCGTTAAAATAATATTAAATGGTAACGTATATGACATATAATTTAAATGTGATTGTCACGTATATTTTTAAAATAAAAGTTTTAAAATATAATTTTTAAGAAAAAAATTTATTATTTTTTTATTTTTTAAAAGTGATGTTATATAGTAATCACGTGTCATTTATATCAGTATTTAAATATCATATCAATATTATTTTAATAGTATTAAGGAGTTGAAACAACTTAATAAATAAAATTAAAAGTTAAGTATTTGATTATAATTTTTTTTTAATTTCGATACCAAATTAAAAAAATTACAATAATTCAAGAATTAAATGAAGTATTATCCACGAGGAAAATAAAGCAAAGGGAGAGGCTGCAGCTATAAATAAACCCCTCCAACCTTCGTGCAACACCGAACATGACGGGCCAATTGAATACCTGGCAACATTAATTACTTGAATATAATTTTAGTGATCTATATATAATAATGTTTTTGTGTTAAGTGCAAATAATATAAAATCGAACCCAAAAATTAATTCAATTGATTTATCTAATAATTATTAAAAAATAATATTTAACAAATATAAAATTTTAATTTTAATATCTATAATTATTTTTTAATTTTTGAACTACGACCAAAAAAAAGTGCTAAATCAATTAAAGCTATTTTTGTTGCCAATTTCAGTTTAAGTTAAAACTTTTAGTATTAAATCATGTTTGGGCCAGTAATTTCTTTTGTTTTATTTAATTTTTTTGAGTGGTGAGCAAGAATTTGATGAATATTTCATTATATATAATTCCAAATTTAAGCAAGTTTGATAATGTTTCAAAAACAAAAGGGTGCAGCCTCCTTTAAATTAAATTAATCAAACAGAATTGAAAGCAAAATATTGTGTACCTAATGGATGGTGATGTTTTTTTTTTTTTTTTGTTTGATAAGAGAGGTAGAGCCCTACAACAAGGGGAGGGACAGAGGTTGGGGTCGAACTCAGTCTTGATGTCTTTTTAAAGTTTATTTGGTTATTAGTTCAAGAAGTTGAAGATAATGAATAACGATGTTAATTAACTGGAATTGTTTGTATAATACTCTATCTACTAAAAAAATTTATTCAATGTTATAAAATGATGAAAAGGTTGAAAGTTGAATTAATTTTTCTAAGGAAATACTATTAAAATGCCTTAAAATTGCTTTTATTTTTTGTTAAGTGGTATATATTATTATATATTATAAAAGCAAAAGTGTTATGTTTTTATGATTTTTATTTTAATTAGAAATATATATGGAATATTAATGTTTCTCTTAAAAAAGAAGTCCACCAAATTTTGTCTCATATAGATCAACTCCTTAATTGGTTTTGTAAATGGTGTTTGCTTAAATTAAAGGGAAAAAGAATATAATTTCTACAACTACTTATATTTTATTAATTCAGCTATAAATGATAGTACAGAATGAAACATTTTTCTCACCAAAATTCTAATCCAACTTGATCTAAAATTAATTCAATGATTTTAATTTAGTGAAATGTTAATAAAAATATTATTTTTAACATAAATTATATCTTAATTATATATAAAATATAATATTTTTATTAAGTCAATCTTTTAAATTAAAGTATTAACTAACAATTTTATTAATATAATTAATTTATAAATAATTAAAAAATAATAAAAAATATATTTTTATACATATCTTAAAATAAATCAAGATAAAATACCTTAAATCCATTATCGACTTAGTCTAGATTAAAAAAAAGAAAATGCTCATATCAAATTGAAATGAATTGAAACACATTCAATAAAAATTGTTTTACCATCCATCCTACTAAATGTCCACCTGCATAAATAAAAATTGGCAATTAACGGGATCTGCTTCTTTTTTTTTTTTTTTATCCATTAAAAAACAAGTCGAAAACACACTACTTCTTGAATTGTAGTGTGCTGGGTTTTTGATCCATAAGTAAAAGAGAAGCAAAATTCGACTCTTCTCTTTGCAAAATTAAAGCTATCCATGTCAGAGAAATGGGCTCTTAAAAAACGAGCGTCGCCCCTTGCAATACGGTGGGCTTAGTTTCATTTCAGGTATGGTCAGATGAAGGAGGTCCAAGCAAACTCGGCCTTGATCTAAAAATGAGCCTACTCTAAATAAGTCATTGGCTGCCGGCTCACTCTAATCTTTTTCTTTTATTGGGACAGATACACTTTAGAGATGACAATGGATCGAAGGTCAAGATGAATTTTTATTCGTTTCAATTTTAATTTGATTTTATATTTTATAATATATAAATTTAATATGATTTAATATTATATAAATTTTATTTGATTTGATTTAAAATTAATAAAATATTTTTAAAATATAAAATATTATTTTTAATATAAATATAAAATTAAATATATAAATATATATATAATTAAATAATTAATTAAAAAATAAAAAAAAATTATATATTAAATTGAATCGGATCGAGTTTACTTAAAATCTTGCTTCGACTTTTTTTATTATTACTTGATCCGATTAAAAAGTTAATTTAAAAAAAAATAATCCTATTAAGTCGGATTTAAACATGTTAGATGCGGATTTGGCTGCCATTTCTAACTATTCTCTCCCGATTTTGTAGTGTTCATCAAATCATATAATTTTATGCCATTTGTTACTTTTCAATTGGTTGTATTATAAGTTATTATTATTATTATAGATTATGGGTAAAATGAACACGGAAGCAGAGAAGCTTATGGAAGAGATGAAAAATAAAGAAAAAAATAAGATAAATATGGAAGAGAATTTTGGTGGAGGGATAGGATTGTAAAAAAAAAAAAAAAAGAAAGGTCAAGCCAAAGCCCTTGCTCACCATTTGTCACAGATGAGTAGCCAGATTAGTAGAGAAATCAATGAATTTGATTAATAATAAATAATAATTTTATTAAATCCAACATAAGATAATTTTTTTTTGAAATGAACAGTACAGCATTAAATAGTTTCGTTTCGCACTTAAATATAAAAGGCCGCAATTCATCATATACACATTCATATTATTTCTTCAAAATACTTTGACCATATGACGTGATGAATTTCTATCTACTTTCCAACTAAATTAAATATTGAACACACATGAAAAAAAGTCTCATCATTCAATTGGATTTGTAGTTTAGACCCCCCATTACTCTATGATCCTAATATTTAATAAGGTTTATGTATCTTCTATTCTTTCTCAAATGATCAAGTTAAACCACATGTATAAGAAATTGGGTTTAATACTAATTTTTTTTAAATTGTTCAATTAGTAATGATTTTTGAACTCTTGGGATGAAGCCAGGGGCTTGAGACTCAACTTAATTAAAAAAACAAAATTATAAATGCATGTACTTTTTTTAAACAAAAGAAATTTAAGTAAAAAAATGAAAAAATATCGAAATTCGATTTTATAAAAATTTATTTTAAAAAAATAAAATAAATTGTTTAAATTAAATCTCGAATTTAAAATACATATATATGTTTTCTAAAAAGAGCTGAATTCAATTTTTTTCAAGATTAAAAGAAAAACAAAAATTATTGAAGATTGAAAATATCTGGCGTCAAAGATGTCATGTTGTGAAAAAAAAAAAAAAAGGACTGTGAAGGAGAGGTGAGAATGGATATGGCCATCGAGTTGGTGGGTTATCTACCAATTAAAACTTCTATTTTGCCTCGAGTCATCAAAGTTCAAACCCCAATCGCTGTTGGTTTTGATGTGCTTTTCCTGTCCCACTTCGGCCCACAACAACAGCGGATGATTGTCCTAATTAATGAGCATTCCCCGTTTCATTTGTGTTCTTCATTGATTATATAATAAATTAAGTATTTTATTTATTTTAGTATTGAAAGCAGCTTAGTTTGATTATTCACCTTCGCGTGCCATCGTTTTTACACTTACATTTATAGTGGACAATTTTCATGTTCCCACCTTAAAATTTTCTACTTTGTTCTCTTCATCCTCATCCTTATGTCACGCTTGCGGGGTAGGACAGGCACATAAAACAACTCCGTAGGTGGGGTCCTAATCTCAAATCAAGCCGTTGATCACTATCAAAAGGGCCTGCAAATGCCCTAAATGACCCTGAGCTAAGGAGTAGCCACCAAGGAAAATGGGCAATGGCGGAACTTTGAATTTTCTAACAGTCAACGTTGTAAACACTCCTTTGTTTTCTTAACTTTTATGGTGGGTGTTAAGTGTTTAACTGTTAAAAAAGTATCTATTTACAAGTTAAGCACATGGAGCAGCCATGCGTTACGTCAAAAGCCAACACCATAGTCTTTCTTCTTTCTTCTCTCAAACGAGAGGCCGGTCGGGTCTTTCCTTGATATTTCACAAACTAAAACTACAACAACAACGACCGTAGTTTTCCCTTTCAGCCTTAACCAGGCGCCCGCTCTCACTTTTCAGGTTTGGTTATCTGTTAAGTTCTTTGTTGCTGTTCGATTCTTTTGAGGTTTTTAGACGTTTTTTCTGTCTGGATTTGTTTCATTTCATGATTTGGTGAATTGGGTCGTTGGAATTCGTTTTATTTATTGTGCTTTTTTGGGGTTGTGCGGGGGATGAATTTGTCTCTTAGTACTGTGGCAACTGAATTTATTGATTACTTGGTTATAAAGTTTACAGCTTTGATTGAATTTTGCAGGGGTTCCGATATGTTGGAATTAACTGTTTAAAACACTTTCTAGAGGCCTTAAATAAAGGGGGCCATCGGTTTTATCCATCTGGGTTTCAGGATTCATGTTGATTTAGTCAACTCAACCGTGAAGACCTGGGTCAAATTTTGAATTGGCCTTGAAGAAGGAGGACTCAGCAATTAGAAAGTCTCTTGGAGTCATTTCCTTTGTTGCCTGGATATGCGCTTTCTTTGTTAACTTGTTGAGTTGGAGATAATAGAGAATTCAATTTGAGTTTTTGTCTGAGATTGTTGAATACTAGATTTGCCTGTTGAGACCAATTCACACCTTTGAATCAAGCTTGTTGAGGGTTGTCTTGGTTACTTTGCATCATTGGTTTGCTGTATTGATTATGGACAACTTTAGTTGAAGAAATTAAGGTTTCTGGAGTTGATTTTGCATGTTTCTCTCTTTTGTCATTACAAGCGACTAGCAGAATAAGTGATGCTTCATTTATAATTTCGGTTTTTATGGAAGTCGAGTGGTTAATTCACTGAGAATGGCTGCTTTTATGTTTAGTCTACTGCTGTTTATGCAATTACCAAGATTCTTTGCCTCTGGACTTGAAGTAAACTCGAAGAATTGTGGTGCAGATCACATAGCTTATTCAAATTTGTATGGTCATGAATTGTTTTATTTGAACGGCAATCTAGTAGATAAAGTTTTGTTCTGTAAGGCCCTGCAGTTGCACTATGCGGATCATTGTGTGTTTGAAGGCTATACTGGAACTGATTACTGTGGTTTGGACCTTTCATTAGGTATGCACTGTAACACATGTTATTTCAGGTGTCTAATTTTTTAGTTATGAAGTTTAGTGCATAATAGAAGTAAATCTCATAGAACCTTTATCAATGCATTATGGTTTTTGCAGCTGATTTGTCCCTTGGAGGAAGAAAATTATTGCTGGAGGCAAAGAAAGAAGATTATATTTCTGATCATACTCCGAACGGGAAGAGTAATAATGAACATTCGGCCTCAACCAAAGTAGGGATGGTAGCAACTGGAATTTTTGTGACATGTTGTGTTTTTATCTGCCCCTGTCTTTATAGGAAAAAGAGAGCAACTGCTGGCACTGTTCTTACAAATGATCCACATTCAAGTGAGTCTTAACTTATCTAAGCTGTATCTGGTCAATTTTGGCATTTATCAAGATTAGAGAAGTTCTGAACAAGGTTTTACTGTTGATAAGATTCAATAATTAGATGCAAGTTTTGAATGAGTAGTCAAGAATAATTATTCAGTTCTCAAGTTTACTCTTTACAATTTATAAGCAACATAGCAATTGTGTAGTTTCCTCATTGTTATCACATCTTTGTGAGTTTAGCTTTTCCATTAATGTGGCATAATTTACTCATTTTGTTTTAGTGTCTAGTTATAAATAGATGGTTCTGTTGTTGCAGTTGATTCCTCGTCCCCTTTGGAAATGAATATTCATTCTCCTTCCGAAAAGATTCCAGCCAGCCCACTAAGGGTACCCCCTAGTCCTTCAAGATTCTCCATGTCTCCAAAACTCAGTAGAATTGGATCAGTGCATCTCACTAATGCACAGGTGGCCAGAGCTACGAATAATTTCTCATCAGCACTAAAGATAGGTGAAGGAGGATTTGGAACTGTCTACAAGGCCCAGCTAGATTCTGGCCAGGTGGTTGCCATTAAACGAGCAAAGAAGGTAAGTAAATATGACCATGGAGATACTATTTCTGCAACATTTACCCCACTGGTTGATTGATTTTGAAACTGGTGTTTATGTTTGATTAATAAATTTTACGTTATATATAGAATAACAAGAGTAAATCATTGATCTGAATGATTAAACTTACAATTTAGATTTTTGGGACCATTAAAAGGAGTTAACTATCTGCATATTATTGATACTGAGGATTCTCCTATTGGACCTGTTCCTCAAAAGAGTGCCACTTACAAAAGCAAAGGGAGAAAATCTATTTAGTACCATAGTCCAGTGATTGACTCTCTTTTGACATGCATTTTTTCAGTAAATTAGGTTACAACAGAATTACAGAAGCAGCTGGGATTTCATCATCTAATAATTTGTAGGAAGATAAAAGTGACCTACAAAACTACTATCCTTGATTCCCAAATTATTCAGAAATATATACTCTGCAAAAGTTTGCAACAATTTGTATGGCTGGCTGTACTTTTCCCTGGTCTAAAACAAAAATTCTTTCCTGTTGAAGAGGAAATTTAGTAAGGCCCCATTTGATTGATGCTTTTGCTATTTGCTTGTTTTCTTTTTTTTTTTTTCAAAAAAATGTATAGAAAGCAAAAGGCAAAAAATAAAAAAATGAATAAAAGACAAAAAGCAAAAGCATTAATCAAATGGAGCCTAAACCTTGGCATTTTGGAGGCATCTCACTTCTCAGGTTCTGTATGCTAAACATATTTTATAAGACTTGCACTAGGGGAATACCAGTTAGAGTGGTTTGATTATAACAGGGGGGGAGCTTTTACTGTTAACAGTTGGGGCTAATGGCTGATGAACACCAAAGAGTGTAAAATGTGCAAATAGGAACAAATGTACCTAAAGTTATACTACACATACATAATGTGGTTGGAAATTCTTTCTCTCCTTCATTATTATTTTTTTCTAAAGGATTCTCAGATATTAACATGGTAACTGTCTATGCTAATGACTTTATGTTGGCTTTATTGGTGACAAACTTGAACTGGCTTAAAAATTCAAGTTCTTTCTTCTGTATTGCTTGTTTTATGATTAAAGGTTTACACCATCTTATTCTTTGGGCATGCTATTTGGTTGACATAAGAATATTGTCTAGGAACATTTTGAGAATCTGCAAACTGAGTTCAGCAGTGAAGTTGAACTTCTAGCCAAGATCGATCATAGAAACCTTGTGAAGCTACTTGGTTATGTTGATAGAGGAGTTGAACGGCTTATTATTACAGAATATGTGCCGAATGGTACTCTGAGAGATCATTTGGATTGTAAGGTCTCTTGACCATAATAACTAACAAATTTTTTGGTCAACAATATTGTTAAAAACTTACAAACAATTTTCGCTGCTATTCCTGGCAGGTCAGCGCGGCAAAATCCTGGATTTCAATCAGCGTCTTGAAATTGCCATTGATGTTGCTCATGGCCTTACTTATCTTCATCTTTATGCAGGTGAGAAAAAACTCGCTGAATTAGCTTGGTTTTGGCCCAAATCATAGCACCAGTAAAGCACACTCATTTATCAGTGTTTCACATTTCAGTTAAGGCCAAATCACATCCATTCTATCCCTTGGATTAATTTCACCTATCTATGGCATAACTCTCCTCATTTCTAACCAATTTCGGCCTGTGCCTTTTCATATAAAAAATAAATAAAATAATGCCTAATTTTCATTTTATCATGAATCAGAGAAGCAAATTATTCACCGAGACGTGAAGTCATCCAACATTCTTCTGACAGAAGGCCTGAGAGCTAAAGTGGCTGATTTTGGATTTGCAAGACTTGGCCCAATGGATTCAGACCAAACCCATATTTCAACCAAAGTGAAAGGAACAGTTGGTTACCTTGATCCTGAGTACATGAAAACCTATCAACTCACAACCAAGAGTGATGTGTACTCATTCGGGATTTTACTTATAGAAATTCTAACTGGCCGCCGTCCTGTGGAGATAAGGAGACCAGTTGATGAGCGTGTGACACTCAGATGGGTAAGCTTGCCCTGCTTTCTCTTGTTAAGCTTTTTACTTCATGGGTATTGTCTTTATTTCGGTATAGGCACATGGAATAGCTGTCAGAAAGATGGGCAATCACATCTAATTTATGAATCCTTTTGTTAGGACTCTTACATCTTAATGAAAATGTAGACTTATTGCAGTCTGGCAAGTAAAAACTTTTATGTGGACAGCCTTTAACTTTCTGTGGTTCTGCCGGTTGAAGATATGGACCAAGGAAGGATATACTATTGTTTACTGTTTATAGTTGGGTTATGGGAACTGAGTCAAGACTTCAACCTATAATTCTAGGATGAATAAACTCAAAACCTCATTCTTTAATGTTAATTTTCACTAGCCACTTCCATTAATCAAAAAATAGTGCTACTGCTGAATTAGGCCGCAGCACGGTTAGAATTAACTGACATAGCTGCTTCTAATATGTTACTGGAGTTTCTGAGTGTTGGGTGTGGGGTTGTGTCTGATATTAGTACGTTCAATTCATGGGTTTTTCTCCTTATATTTAGTGGATAATATTCTCATAGCCCTATTTATTTTGAAGATGTCTCTCTAAAACAAGGGTAAACTTAGAAAAAAGAAAATGAAAGAATTGGAGTAAAAGGGATAAAGAAGTGAGGTAGTGAAGTTGGCTTTAATTTAGTCAAAACCTAAGTTATTCAATCTTCAAAAGTAATTATTTTTTGTTTCTTCCAATCAATTGCAATCAGATTTTATTGTCTTAATGTCGTACAGGCATTCCATAAGTATAATGAAGGACATGTAACGGAATTGGTGGACCATATGATGGTAGAAGTTGTAGATGCAGAGACACTGATGAAGATGTTTGCTTTGGCATTTCAATGTGCAGCGCCCGTAAGAAATGATCGACCAGAGATGCAATCTGTGGGAGAGCAGTTATGGGCAATAAGGGCTGACTACCTTAGGAGCTCGAGGCAAGGATAGCACAAGAGATTTAAGAGTAGTCTCTTCGCCCCTTAACTCAGTTGTTCTTTTTTCTCCCTTCTGTTTCTTGCTGTTGTTCACTTTCTTTTCTTTTGTCCCTCACCCCCTGCTTTTAAGCCTACTGTAAAAACCAAAATTGGTCTTTAGCCAAAAGCTGTGATGCACTTTTGCCTTGTTCTCTTGCTTCAAGTCTATGACAGTGTCATTGTGGTAAAGCGTTGAAAGTAAATATGAAGAGGATATATTGCACTTCAATATATATGATTTCATTTTATTTCAACCAATTATATATGATTTCATTTTATTTCAATGATAGTTTCTATTACAGCTCCCCAAAAATACAGATACTTTCTTATGTTGAGTTGATTGTAGAAGCCTTTACTTTATACATGTTCTTTTCCGTCATTACAGAATTAGGGTAGCCAGAGCTTCTAAAATGTGATAGCCCAGTTCCCAATTTGAAGGGAGAAAAACCTTGTGGCATTGTTGTTATTATGATCTAGTAAGAATTTACATCATTCTTTACCACTATATTTATGTTTGGGAAATAAGATTTGCATCACATGTTGAAAATGTTGCTAATTGTTATTCCCAAGGTGAAGAAGTCGTTTGGGCAAATGGGAGCCGGTGCTCCAGCTTTTAACATTTTTCTCCATAGATGGGTATAAAGAGAATGGTTCATAATCTGTAGCTAAATGCCTAAAATAATTGAAATCTGGTCTACCCTTCAAGAAACAATGTAATTTTGGAGATATCTCTTGGAAAGGCATTAGTAATTTACTAATGCAGGAACTGGAATACAAGAGAGCAAAATTTGTGAAGGGTAATTGGACCCATATCATGTGAACATAGTAAATACCGACGGAATTACCAATTAATTTCCGTCACTAATTCAATCGAGTCGGTTAAATCTCACATCGATTAAGATTTGTCGGCTTAGGCCCCTCTTGGGCTAAATTCAAAAGCCCCCCCATAGTCTAGCCCAACTGACCTTTTTCTAGTACCAAAATAAGGGCACGAACCTCACCTGGGCGGCGATTAAGCTGGAGACGGGCGACTAGAAATGAGCCTCACTTTTTTTCAAGAGCGACTTTGATAAATGAATTGTCATTATAAAAACCTTTGGAGAAAATGATACTAAAAACCTTCCATATCAAAATCCCAAATTCCTTTTTGAATCATTTTGTCAGCTGAAATCACTCCTAGCTTTGATGCAAGCTGTCCCAATTTGGACTCCAAAATCCGGAAAAAAGAAAGACAAAAGCTGTCTTTAATTTAAAACAATTAGAGACAACTTTATTCACATCGAACAAATCTTGTATCAATGGTGGAAATAACTTTCTGTCAAGTCTCACAATGAACAATATGTATCAAAGAAAAAAGAACAGAAAAAACAAAGTCTCGTAATGGACAATGAACACAGTAGATTCCTCTCATTTTGGAGTTTGGTCCCATGAATTTTTTATTTTTTTTATTTTGAGAAATGGTCCAATGGATTTTATAACAAAGAGGAATCAATCAATTTCTATGCTGGAAAAACAGTCTAGCTTTCTAAAATTCTGTACAAATTTAACTAAAAAATTAGGCAAAATTAAAAAAAAAAATTCATAAAAATTTAATAATCATTTAAATTTATAATATTGTATGATTATCAATAAGTTTTAATTTTTTTTTTATTTTGAATCAATTAAATATTTATTTTTATTTAATTAATTTTTTAAATATTGATTTATATTTCATTAAGTCATCATTAAACAAAAATTAATATTGATTATTAATCAATTTTTATTTAATAAAAAATCAATTTATAAAAATAAATATTTAAAAATTTAGTTAATTACAATAAAACCATAAAAAATTGAACAATTTATGAATTTTTGTTCTAAAACTATTTAGATCCTTTAACCAAAAACAAATTAAACAAGACAAAGAAAAGACAGAAATAATAGTAATTTACGCATTCAATGTGTAAACCAAATATATCATAGTCAGCAATTTCCACACGTATTCATCGATTATCATTCATCAAAATCACATTTTGCTTTGCATACCCATAAATCACCAACCAAATAATTAGATCCCACTAATCAATCAAAGGCTTGTGCACTTCCCCACCACATTCCAAGTTCTAGTCTCTTAATCTCCTTTTAGAAAATAAATTTTAGAATATTTATTAATGTTTTATTTAGAAATTAGGGGAGACATCAATTTATATTAAAAAGTTTTATACTTTTTTAATTGTTATTTTTAATAAATTTAAAAGATGAGATTTATTTTATTTAATTTATTTCTTTAATTTTTTTAAATTTATTGAAATTAATGATAAAAATAATATAAAACTTTCTAAATTTATGCTAATGTAAATTGATTAATTCTCTACAAAATTATAAAGTTTTAGTATTATATACCTATTCTAATACATATGAAAAAAAAAAAAAGGTTAACCGGGGTAATAATCTTATCAACTCTTTTATAAGAAATAATAACCCTCAAATTAAGTTTGAATTATTGTATTTTGAAATTATTTTATGATCTCCTTTTCATCGTCCTTTTCAAATGTTTTCAAGCATTAATCAAGCTCAAAATTAACCCCAATTTTTTTTGAGTTCAAACTTTTGGAAATTCGATTAACTTCAAACTTTTTATTAAAATTAAATTTCATTGTTTTTGAATATTTAAGGAATGGATATATATATATTAATATTTGTTGATCCGAATAATAAGATATTTGATTTTTTTTAATAAAATATTGGTTTCGAATTTATGAATGAAAAAAATAAAGGTTAAAAAAATTTATCTTCATATAAAATCGGATCGAATTTGATTTTAGAATAATCAAAATTTAAGATGATTATTAGACATCGATAAATTTCAAATAAAAAAATATATATTTATACAAATTATATTAGGAAGGTAAATACATTATTTTCCAGGCAATTTCTCAAAAAAAAAAAAAAATAGTAGTAAGAAATGACAGTAGGATATTAGCTCTTATTTCCATATATGGATTGAATTTTATTTATTATAATCAACTTTAAATTAATGCTTCTATATAAACATGTGAGAAGAACAGACAAAATCGCAAAGCATAAGTGGCTCAAATTCGTGGGCAATCTATCGTTTGGGATACACTTTTTATAAAATGCAGAAAATCACGACTTGTCGTTGAACTCGTTTCGCTCTCTCAGAGGTCCGTCGGCTACTTCCAACAAACCACACACCCACCTTCCGTCCTTCTCCCCATAACCAAGAAAAATTCATTTTTTCTTTATTCATGTATAAAACTTAAAAGAAAAATCAATTTCTCGAGCAACCATGGAAGACTCATCATCCAAGGAACACAACCCAGGAGTTCTAAAGGTTCTTGAAGCTCTAAAACAAGCTTCCCACGAGTTACAAGCTCATCCAACTCATAGCTCGGCTCACTCCAACTCATCTGCCATTGAAGCTCTCCTTGAGCTTGAAACAGAGTCCGATTCAATCATTTCCAAGAACCCACATTTCTCTAACCTTTCTCAATATCTTGGTGACCTCAAAACCCTCGTCGAAACCCTCAAAGGGACTCGTGGTTACGGCCTCAGGAGCTTCTTGACTCGTCGAGTCTCCACTCACTCTATCTCCCGCGTTGCTGGATCAATTGAGTCTGAAATTCAAGCCTGGATCGACCGTGAGAGCGTTGAGAGCTTGATAAAGGGTTTAAAAGAGCCATGGAAGAACGAGGACGAGTTGGTTCGGTTATTGGCTCAATTCGAAGACCGAATCTCACAAGGGTTTAATCGCGAGTTGCAGAATTTAGTCCTAAAATCGAAAGCCTTTTCAGTTTTACAGTCGGTTCTTTGCGACCTGAATTATACAAAACGGATCCGAGAGAATGCAGCGTTTTGTGTAGCCGCTTTGATCCGATTCAACAAGGATGTCTTTGTCGGGCAAGTGAATATGGGAGGTACAATTCAAGCACTTTTGGACATGAGATCAACCCATTGCCTTAAAGTTTTCTGTGAACTGATTAAGTTTATTAAGTCTCCCTTTGTGGATGAAATTGTCAGTAATGGGGAAATTCTCAAGATTTTAACTTTGTTGGAATCCAAGGATTTGGACATGAAGGTTTTGGCCTTTGATTGCATTCTTGAAATTGGTTACTTTGGACGCAAAGAAGCTGTAGAAGCACTGCTTAAAGGAGGGCTGATAAAGAAATTTGTGGAATTGCAGAGGTCAGAGCTTGGTGGGGATTTGATTGAGATGGGAAAGTTTGGTGATGAAAATGAGGAGAGTAGGGGGAAGAAAAGAGAGAGGAGAGAAAACAAGTTTTTAGAGAATCATCCATTTGTAAGCTGTGTGGCAAGGTTTGCTGTGCAATTAGAGGTTGGGGAAGGGCTGAGGCAAAGAGAGAAAAGGGCTTTTAAGCAAGAGATTTTGCAGAGAATTAGGGAAGTTTCTTTTAGTGATGCTGAAGCTGCTACTGTTATTGCTGAGGTTTTGTGGGGTTCTTCACCTTGATCATGTTTTTAACAAGAATTCAGAAATGAAAAAAAAAAGTAATTGTTTGGTTTTTTTTTTTTTCAGTGATTAGTAGTAAATCTTTTGGTTTGTTGTATATAGAAAATTGTGTATTTATGTAGTGGTGTAAATGAATTGTTTATCAAAATTGAATTCTTCAATATTGTCTGTTATGTTGTATTTCATTTTTTTTTCTTCATTTTTTGGTTTGGTTTGGTTTGGTCTGAGAAAGAAAATTGTAGTGTCAAAACTGGGATTTGGGAAGCATATTCCTTGTGATTCTCTATTAGGGGTATGCAAATTTGAAACTGCATTTGAGCCATAATTGTGGAGTGTGGAAGGCCATCGCCTTAGGAACTTAAATGTGGATGAGCTGTGTCTGGTATAATAGTAATGAATTTGCCCATTATTACATGATTTGATAAGAGAGTGTTTATGAGGTAAAGCTTCATTTACTTTCTGCAGCATTTCTCAAATTTCAATCCAAAGAATCTGATATTCAATAAGTATTGGTGCCTCCAAAGGGGGTGTAAAAATCATTGCTTGGTATATGCCTTTTTTCTTTTAATATGAATTATAGAAAAAGTGAACCAACCTTTTGTTATTGCAAGTTGCTTTTAAGTTTATGCTATGAAATATGAATAGTAATATTTTAGTGAGATTCCTGGTGGAATAGTGATATTGTAGCTGAATCTTATGTCCTCAAAATCTTTTCTCATTTCTCTACAAGCAAGCTTTTTTGTTTAACATAAGCCTGGCAAAAGCATGTGTGGATTCCTTGCATACAGGAATAAAAAATGTTTGTCAATTTCTTAATTTTAGCTTAACGCTTGCGTGCTCATTGACTCTTTTGTTGGATGAAGGCACTGTCAGTTCACTCGGTGGTCCTATATCACTGCCGAAGCAGTAAAGCACCATTTCTCCTGGAATGCTTCGAGTTTGTAACTTCAGGATAAAAGAATAAAATATAAATGTTGGGAGTTTAATTTTAAATTATTAAATATTAATTTATTTAGGTTGAAACTATGAAAAGCAGTCGAATTTCAACAGTAGTATATTGGGCGTGGATAATTCGCATTAAATCGTCAATTTTCCTGAATGTTCTCAACGTCAGTTATCTAAAAACAAGATTGATATCAATATTTGGTAAAATGACAAAGAGATTTGTCTGGCATCTTGGTATGACGAATTCAACATCATGTTCATTGTTCGATGAATGTGATAAGCGCACAAAATTTCTTGGGAAGATCCCCACTGAGCCGCAGATTTAACGGTTGTTCAGCAACTTGTTAATTTCAAGAAAAAAAGATAAGAAAACTTGTTAATTTCGAGAATCTTCAGAT